AGTAGTAGTAGTAGTAGTAGTAGTAGTAGTAGTAGTAGTAGTAGTAGTAGTAGTAGTAGTCAGTAGTAGCAGCAGCAGGAGTAGTAGTAGTAGTAGTAGTAGTAGTAGTAGTAATAGTAGTAGTGTTAGTAGTAGTAGTAGTAGTAGTTAGTAGTAGTAGTAGTAGTAGTAGTAGTAGTAGTAGTAGTAGTAGTAGTAGTAGTAGTAGTAGTAGTAGTAGTTGTAGTAGTAGTAGTAGTAGTAGTAGTAGTAGTAGTAGTAGTAGTAGTAGTAGTAGTAGTAGTAATAGCCGTTGTCGTCGCCGTCGTATTAGTAGTAGTTGTAGTAATAGTAGTGGAGTCGCTGCTGGCCTGTCCAAGTACCGTTGAAGCTAAGATGCTGTGTTGGGGTGCAGGCTGACTTGACATTTGCCTTGCTTCTCTCACCCTGGCAGCACGTCCATGATTTTATCGGAGGGCGGATGGGGAGGCCGTTTTCGGATATGTGTCTTTGGAGCCTTGTAGATGCTCGAGAGCTTGCCATGGTCCATGTCGATCCAGAGGATCCGATTCGGCCCTGCGCTTACATGGCGCTGTTCATCCTGGCGCTGCCAATTCGATTCCGGCTCCGTGCCGATGCAGCCCCGTTCGATACATGTCCCGATCTTGATTCCAGATTTGATGTTGATTGTTCCTACTTGCTGCTCCCTGTCAATTTGGTCCCCCCTGCCCTTGCCAGCTCTCTCTGACCCCAGAACCTGCCAGAGAACTCGCAGGCTCCCTCTGGTGATCCCCCCGCTGGCCGCTGCCGTCGGCGGGCTTTCGGCGCCATGGTCGAGTCGACGACGACGAACACGGCGCCGACGACGAGCACGAAGGCGGCGACGAACACTACGAGAGGAGGACGACAAACTACGATAGGACGAACACCCGATCCCCGCTCCCAGAGGGAGGAGGAGAAAGGTGGACCTCCATCACCTCACGACTGGTCGATTGAACCGACCAGTCATGAGGTGCCCTTGGGAGCGGCTGCGCTCTGCGGAGGCTTGCTTTTTCCTTGCGGCGACGCGCTTTCTCTTTCGCCAGCTCCCCCCTTCGGTCTTCGCCCCAAGACGAAGTGGCTGGTCGACTCACAAGCGAGCCACTGCGGCGGCGAGCCACGCCGAGACGGCGAGCCGCCACGCCGAGGGCGACGGGCCACGGCGGGCCCAGGAGGAGGCGCCACGTCGCGAGGACGGCGGCGGCCACGGCGAGCCACCGCGGCGGCGGCGAGAGCCACGGCGGGCCACGGCGGCGGCGAGCCACGCAGCGAGGACGAGGCGCGGCGACGGCGGCCAGCAGCAGCGACGGCTGCGGAGGGCCGCGGGGAAGGGCGCGCGGGATGTCCTTCGCGGCCTCCTCGCGCGCGGACGCGGAGAGGCCCCGCGCGGCGGGGGGGGGTGGCGGGGAGGCGCTGGACGTGCGCTCCGCTCCGCGGGCATCCTCCTCCTCCTCCTCCTCCTCCTCCTCCTCCTCCTCCTCCTCCTCCTCCTCCTCCTCCTCCTCTCCTCCTCCCCCCCCTCCTCCTCCTCCTCCTCCTTCCCTCCTCCCTACTCCTCCTCCCCTCCTCCCCCTCCTCCTCCTCCTCCTCCTCCTCCTCCTCCTCCTCCTCCTCCTCCTCCTCCATCCTCCTCCCCATACGACCCGACCCAGCCATGAAGGGTACAGACAGAATGGGCACGAAGACCGACAGCAGTCAGGAGCGAAACAAGGAAGTACTCGTTCACGAATCCACGTTGGTTTCGAAAGTGCGCAGTGCGCGCTTTCGTATCACGCGGCCGGTCTCGCGGATGGGGGGGCCGTGTTCATGTACATGGTTGGGCGCGTACGTCTTTTGTGGGCCCCTTTTGCAGGTCCTGCTCGTTTAGAGCAGGACTAGCTGTCCGTGTCGCCGCGGACGTTGTCCACGTATGTGAGGCAGAGCACCGTCTGCCCACCAGCGACCGTTGTCCGTGTTGGACAGTATCTGTTGTGGGGCATCCTGCCCATTTTTTCTGTACCCATCGGTCGTTGAAAGTCGGTATTTTGAGATTCTCAGATTCCCATCTACCTTAAGCGCCTTCTACTTCAATGATCGATTGGCTTCCCATCTTCCCTCCTCTTCACGGGGCGGGCGGATACCCAACCTGCTTCCAACGCCTTCCTACTTCATGTTTCGACCCACTTCTTCCGACCGATGGATACCCATGTCGGGCGTCCAAAGGGACGTGTTTGACAGTCTTCTGGGCACGGGGTGGCTTCCATCAGCTGCGCCTCGTCGAGGGCGTTCCGGGGATGCTGGACTCGTCCCGGACAGCCGCTGGAGACCCGAGTTATGCGGCCCGGAGGCCGCGGCCTCCGTGATTTACCGGGACCCTGGATCGTCAAATAGCATTTCCGATGCAGAGCAGAATTTGGGAAATGGGGGTTCAGAGCTCTGGAAAGCCACGTTGTGAACAGATCGCGACGTCGGACGTCTTGGTGAGTTGAGCGAGTCTTGTTGCAGCCCGCCCAGAGCACCCCTGCACGAGTCATGGTCCCGCGCGGTGATGCACTGGGGGGTATGGCTTGGTAGGTACAATCCTACCAAGTTTTCCGAGGATGTCTTTAATGTTCAGGGGGGCCCCTCACCAAGCTCTCGGCTGGGAATCAACCTCGTCCTTCCCCTCGTCGTCCTTCCCCTCCTCGTCTTTCCCCTCCTAGTCCTCCCTCCTCAGGCCCACCCTTGATGATCATGTTCATCCCACCTTGCGGATAGGAATGGAGGGGTGGGAGGGAGGAGAATGGACGGAGAAACCTCGCCTCCGAGGGGGGAAGCAGTGGCTTTGGAAGCGATGCTCCATTACACCACCTACTTGTTTGGGGGGGGGCTGGCGGCATCCCGAGGCTGTAGATTGCGCGGACGCTCGCGCTTAAGCGGCCCGCGGGAAGTAGCGCGTGAGCGCTGTCTGGTCCATGTGATGTGCCGCGTGAGCGGCCTGCGTGAGCCACCGCGTAAGGTCGCCGTGTCCTGGTGCCCTGCCCTCGACTCTCTGGCCAAGGACTCTGCTGTTGGGAGCAGCATGCCACGATGTTGCCTTCGATGTGTTCCGCCCCTCTCCTCCCTCTTCGCTTCCTCCCCTCTGCTCCCTCCTCCTCCTCCTCCTCCTCCCCCGTATCCCTCTCTGGCCATGGTGCCTGACCAGTGGTGCTCCCACGTTGCGTGTAGCTCGGCCCGCTCCGACGCAAGGACCTCCTCCTGCGACTGCAGTTTTGGTTCAGCAGACTTCATCACCGCTGTTTGTCCGCGCCTTATGCGCACGCGTTGTGCTTGCTGCCTTGGCCGCGTGGCCAGCGTTCGCCCCCGTGGGCGGCCTTGCTGCTGGGAGCCGAGACTGGACGTCAGCCCAAGGTCCTAATGACAACAACTGTCCCTCTCTCGCGCCCTCCTTCGTGTTGTCCCTCCTCCCTCTCCTCATCATCCGACTCCTCTTCCTACTTGTTCCCCTCCCCCCTCCCCCGCGCGACAAACGCGCGGGAGGATGAGAGATGAGGAAGGATGAAGAGGAGGAGGAAGGAGGAAGAGGGAGGAGGAGGGAGGAGGGACGCAGCAGCAACGAGAACGAGGAGGAGGAGGAGGAGCAGGAGGAGGAGGAGGAGGAGGAGGAGGAGGAGAAGGGGAAGGAGGAGGAGGAGGGAGGAGGAGGAGGAGGAGGAGGGAGGAGGAGGAGGAGGAGGAGCAGGAGGAGGGAGGAGGAGGGAGAAGGAGGGAGGGAGGTGGCGTCGGATCCTCCGATGGGCCCCCCCTTCCTCCGCTCGAAGCCCAGTCCCCAAAAACAAACGCCGCCGCTGCCGTCGCCCTCGCCGTTGGCGTAGTCGCGCCCTCGGCGTCGTCGCCGTCGTCATCGACGGCCTCGCCGCCGCCGCCGCAGCTGCCGTCGTTGTCTTCGTCGTCATCATCGCCGTCGCCGCCCGCAGCTGCCGTCTTTGTCTTTGTCGTCATCATCGCCGCCGCTGCCGTCGTCGTCGTCGTCGTCGCCGCCGCCGCTGCCGCCGTCGTCGTCGACGGCCTCGCCGCCGCCGCCGCAGCTGCCGTCGTCGTCGTCGTCGCCGCCGCCCTCGCCGCCGCCGCCGTCGCCGCAGCCGTCGCCGTCGCCGCCGCCGCCGCCGCCGCCCGCGTTGGCGTTGGCGTTGGCTTCGTCATGGGCGTGGCGTTGGCCAGAGGCGGGGCGGCCGGCAGCCGGCCCGGGGCTGCGCGAGCCTCGAGGCGGGCGCCTTTTTTGAAGTCGGGGAGGGAGGGAGAAGGAGGAGGAGGAGGAGGAGGAGGAGAAAAATAAGAAAAAGGAGGAGGAGGAAGGGAGGGGAGGAGGAAGAGGAGGAGGAGGAGGAGGAGGAGGAGGAGGAGGAGGAGGAGGAGGAGGAGGAGGAGGAGGAGGAAAAGGAGGAGGAGGAGGAGGCGGAGGAGGAGGAGGAGGAGGAGGAGGAGGAGTGAGATGAGGTGGATAAGGAGGAGGAGGAGGAGGAGGAGGAGGAGGAGGAGGAGGAGGGTGAGGGGAGGGACTGATGGCGGAGGAGGAGGAGGAGGAGGAGGAGGAGGAGGAAGAGGAGGAAGGAGTGATGGAGAAGGAGGAGGAGGAGGAGGAGAAAGAGGAGGAGGAGGCGGCTGTGGAGGATGAGGGGGAGGGAGGAGGAGGAGGAGGAGCAGGGGGAGGGAGGAGGCCGAGGAGGGGGAGGGAGGGGGAGGGAGGGGGGGAAGACAGGATAGACGCGCCCTCGCCATGTCTGACACTCTACCCTCCCACCCATGTCTTCCCCTTGCGCTGATTTGTTCTCTGTCCGCCCGCGGGTGTCATATCGGACCTGGAGCCTGGAGCCCTCAAAACGACCCCTTATCGTGTGATGGGAAGACAGCGGGGGGGGGGAAGAGGAGTGAGGACACGAGGAGGGGAGAAAGGGGGGATGTTCAGGAGGTGCAGGGGACGTGGTGGTCGGCGGCGCCCACAAAGGGTTCGCTCGAGATGGGTAGGCTCCTAAGAAGGCGGCGGAGCTTCCAAGCAGGCGGGGACCTCGTTAGAAGGGCCCGCCAGTCTTCAGAAACCGTCTCTTAGAAGCCCTCCCTGCTTACCAAGGAGACGCCTCCCTTCTTGCCGCCCCCATCGAACCACCCCTGTGTCGGCGCCAAGAGGGGCAACGTTCAGGGGAGAAGGTTTCTGTTTCGAGGTTCGAGGTTTCGGACGGTTTTGTCGCTCCTCGGCGGTCCTTCCAGCTTGGGGATGCCTTCCAGTTGCGTCTCGCCGAGCGCGTTCCGGGTGCGCCCGGATCGCCCGGAAGGGCCGCAGAGACCCGAGGCAGTACCCGAAAGTCAGATGAGGATCTCCCGTGTCAGGTGCCACGTCAGGGGGGCAGGAGGGGCAACGATAAGGTTAAGACGGGCCTGTCCCTTTGCAGGAGGAATATCAAAAAATAGTAAAAAATAGCTGTTGGACGATTTGTTGATCATTTTTTAGCATTTGGGGTGTATTGTTTGAGTAGTTATAATTTTTCGCCCAAAATCCCCCTGTAGGGACAGTTTCGGGTTCGAGTTATCTCCTCTCGGTCGCCATGATGGAAGCGGGTCATGAGTTGTTTTTTATTGGTTGCTTCTCCTTTGGGCCCTCCACGGGCCCTAAGACTATCAAACAACGACTCGGGATGACCTAGGTCGGGTTGGGACGTTCCAACGGTTCTCGGCAGATTTTCAGCCTTCGGATGCTCTCTAGCAGTCGCGCCTCGTTCGGAGGTGCTCGAATCGTCCCGAGCGGCCACCAGAGTCCCGAGTCTGAACGACCCGAAAGCCAGATGATAAGGATCATTCGGGGCGGACGAGAAGTAGGGTTAAGTCGGGCCTGTCCCTGTACGAGGGGAATATTCAACAATATTTTTTGTTTTAAAAATATTAAACAAAGTATTGTGCGGACTATGTTTTGAGTATGTTTTGACAATTTTTGGGTAATGTCGGAGTATGTTTTATTTGTCGTCAAAAATCCCCTTGTAAGGGGGACACGCCCGACTCAAAAGTAGGGGAATCGGAAAGAGGGGAGTGCGAAATCTGTTGCGTGCAGCTGGTTTCGGCCCCGCCCTCGATGTACGGGCGGTTGCGGTGCGATAAAGGCGCTGGAAAAGCGAGATGCCTGCGGTTTTTCCTTAACCCTCCTCTTATGCTATCCCCCCATTTCGTTCGCCCCAATCCTTCTCCTCCTTCTCTTCCTTCTTCTTATTCAACTTGTTTTCACTTTTTTTCAGGTCCGCTGGCTGTCTAGGGCAGGTGTTCGCTTTTGCTGTAATTAGGGGCTCATCTGGTTTGATCGTAGAACGTGTCGAATTCGCCGTCTCACCTGCAAGGAATAGATACCGATCTACTCTGGAGGTGCTTGCTCGTTGCTCTGATGAATCACCCCTCCTCTCTCTTCTCGTCCCTCCCTCTTCATACTCTGAGCGGCGGGGGTGGGGCAGCCAGAGGCCATCTTGAACCATGTCCAGACGTGTCGCGTTCCCTCTCTTCCTCCTCCTCCGAACCTCTCGCAACGTGAACAAAATACACACGACAAAAGGTATGTGACCCTTTTCGGCATCGTATTTTTTTAACTGGGCCCCATGACCGTCGAATGACGATTCAGGATGAAGAGCCGGTCCTGGAGATGGGGACGATAATGCTTGGGGACCAGTCTGTGTGAAGCAAGACATTTGTCCCCTTCAGTTGTCCATCGTCCTCCTTCTCCTCTCCCTCCTCAAGCTCCCCCTCCCCCCCTCCCCCGGGGGTGAGAAAGGGGACGCGTCGTACAAGTTGTTTCGACTATGCTTGGCCAGGGTCTGCATCGGAGGATGAGGAGGAACAGAAGGAGGAAGGGATGAGGGAGGGCACGCCCATCGGTAGATGCAGTCGGCTGTCCTTCGAGGGGCCCCAGGCTTTTTGCAAAGGGCAAGCGAAGGAGGAGGAGGAGGAGGAGGAGGGATTGGAATGGGAACAATGACGCAGTCATACGAATCTCGGCGCCTTCCCTTCGCTCGGAACTTCGCCAGAACCGCGACGCTGACGAGGCCGAGCGAAACGAGGAAGAACACCACGCACTTACTGGGGAACTCCGTGCAGCTTCCCCCTTACTGTGGAGTCGCATCTGCTGGCAATCGGCGCCGCCGCCCGTTGCATGCACAGTCGCCCGCGCGCTCTGGGGCGGAGATCTTGCACCAATAGAAGCCCAAATCCGCCATCGGCCCCGTGGGCACCGCAGCCCGCGAGCCATCAGACGCATTTCGCAGAACATTGCTGTCTTGTAGTAGCAGTAGCTTCGCCCGCTCGGCAGGCCAGGGTCCTTCGATACGGCCGCCTCCACGACAGCTCCAACTCCAGCAGGGACAGACGTGTGGCCCGCGCCGCAGCAGCAGCCTCCGCAGCGCGGCTCCTGCCGGCTGCCAGCTCCGCCTGAAGCTCCGCATCCGAGGGGGTCTCGATGATCAGTGCCCCATTCAGGAGGGAAAAAACACAGACACAATTAATCGGCGATTCCCGAAAAATATGGGAAAGTATGGGCAGTGGAGGGGAAGACAGACACCCAGAAAATGTAGGAAAATATGGGGGAGATTTTGATTTGTGTGTATTCCTTTGGGTGTCCCAGCTCCCCTTCAACCATGCGCCGTCAGCCTTCGAGGCCTCGGCCCCCCTCGTGCGTGCGTGCGTCTCGAAGCTGGCAGCCTCCTCGACGGCCGTCGCGCCCATGCGGGCCCGAAGGCGGCCATCAGCGGCGCGTCCACCATCGGCGTGGGCAGCGTCTCCGGCAGCGGCCAGACGCTGACCATCAGCGGCGCCAGCAGCGGCACGAGGCGGACCAGCGGCGTGGGCATGGGCTCCCGCGGCAGCCCGAGGACGGCCATCGGCGGCGCCCGCAGCGGTACCAAGATGACCGTCAGCCTGGCTAGCTGCTCTCCCAGCGACTCGAAGAAACCACCGGCATCCCAAAGACGTCCCTCATCGTGGGCAGCGTCTCTCGCATCGACCCGAGGATGGGGGCGTCGGAATCGATGAATACCCCAGCTTGGCATCGCTCGGACGTGTGCCTTTTTTTTCTCGGCGAGAACCATCGAGGACCATCCTGGACCATCGAGCAAAAAAAAACACGCACGAAACCGAAAAATGCACGGGAAATGAACGTCCGAGCGACGGCAAGCCAGGCTGCAGCGGCTCCTCCAGCTTGAGCGCATGCCCAGCCGCCGCCTCGCCCACGCGGATTCGCAGGCCAAGGGCGGCTCCACGACAAGGGGATACGGCGAGTAGACCTCAGCACCATACGTGCACCTCATGCCAAAGGACGCCACAGTCGACAGGGCTTCCCAATGCCTCTGCGGAATGAAGGCGAGTGCGTCCCTGCGCAGCGTCGATAGCACGGCACCAGCGCTCAGGCTGGGGCCCATCTGCACGCGGTTGTGCTTCTTCGGCGAGGCCAACCGCAGGTCCTCGGGGAGCTCCGCCGCGTGCAACGCCACGTTGCGCCTCAACTGCTCCAGCGGGTGGGGAAGCTGCCCAGTCAGCTTCGCAGCAAGAGCGGGTGCGCACGCTGACAGGCGGGCGCCGACCTCGCCTCCTCCGCTGGGGGCGTCGACGATCCCGAGGAGCGTGACCTGAACGCTCTTCAGTGAGTCCAGCTCCGTGGCGAGGTGGCGCACCGAAGCATGAGCAGCTTCATGCGCCGCCGACCTCGCTGTTATGCGAGCTGCGCGCGAGCGCTGTTGAACTTGACGACCTTCACCACCACCCAGCGGCGATCGGTCCTGCGTTACCCCAAGCTCCTCAGCGGCTTCCCCCAGCAACACCAGAATCGGCCTGGACCATGCCATGCGAGCTCGAGCCAAGGGGGTACGCCTGCAGTGGGCGGCTTGGGCCAAAATGGCAACGGAAAGAAGCAGGAGGAAAAGGAGGAGGCATTGGAACGACGAGGAGAAGTTGGAAGAAGTAGTGGTGATTGAAGAGGAGGCGGAGGTGGATGATGATGCGGAAGCAGGCGGAGGTGGAGGTTGCGGGGGGGGAGGAGGGAGGATCAGGTAGAGGACGAAGAGGACGGATGGGGGGTGGGAACGAGGAGGAAGAGGAGGAGCCGGTAAATGAGAGAGGGGAGCGGGAGGAAGAGGCGGAGGAGGAAGAGGAGGACGAGGCTGAGAAGGAGGAGCGGGTGAAGGAGGAGGAGGAGGAGGAGCAGCGGCAGCAGCAGCAGGAGCAGCAGGAGCAGGAGCAGCACCCCAGACCTCCGCGCGGAGCAGCACGAGCATCCTGGACATCCTTGATTTCAGCGCGCTCGGAGAGGAGGACCGACCTCCGCTCCCTCTGGCCGCCCGCCCTATGCCCCCCCCGTCGCGGTGGCAGAGCGCCGGGGGGGCAACTGCCCACCCACTCCCCCCCCCTCCCTCCCCCCATCCCCCCCTTCCCCTGTCACCCTTCTTCCCCTCCTCTCCCCTCCCACTCTCCTCCTCCTCCTCCTCTCCTTCCTCCTCCCTCCTCCTCCTCCTTCTCCTCCTCCTCCTCCTCCTCCTCCTCCTCCTCCTCCTCCTCCTCCTTCCCCCTCTCGCGAGGCACGTATCGTTTCTCCGCGTGCTCCACTGGAAGCCCTGAGAGCCCGCTCTGAGTTCGCCCGCTCGGTGCGCAGCTAAACCACAGGCTGACCTGCCTACCGCACCCGTCCTAGTTTTTCCGCCTCATTTGAGGGGCCATGGAAGTTGGGTGCAGGTGGCAAAATCACCGGTGTGGGATATCTTAAAAGAGGAGTACATCAGCAATGGGTACATCAACAAGTGAGTGGGCTTAGGCCCTCCAGCAGCTCCCTCGCGGAGCCCCTAGCCGGCTTCCATTCCGTTCTGTTCCGTTCCATTTGAGGGGCTTCAGTTGGGGAGGGGGACGGGCGCCGTTCAGGGCGTCGGGGAGTCGGGGAAGGGGGGGGGGACTTCGTACCCGAGAGCCCGCTCAGCAGGGCTGCGTGCCCGAGTGTTGCTGCGTGGCCAGGGCCAGTGCTGGTCTGCGGAGTGCGGCATTGGATCCACGAGTGCCAGTGGCATGTGCGTGTCAGAAATCGGGGGCGGCAAAGAGGGGGGTGATGACTAGGGGGGGGGATATCATGGCGGTGGCCATGATATTTTCCCAGATTGCATGGCGCCGCCTCTTATTCCATTACGTCCCTGGGCCCCCCCGCTGGGGCGCGCACATGCCTCCGGCCATGATTTGCACCCCCCCCTCGGGGACACCCCCCTCGTGGCCGCTCCAGAAGAAAGCAAAGCATACACACGTTGTCAGGGAGTCTGAGCCAAGATGTCGTTCAGAGGCGTGACTCCCACAGTGCCAGTTCAGTCCAGTCCCTCCTCTCCCCTTTTACCCCCGTCTCTCCCCCCCTTTTCCCTCCCCACCCCATTTCGACTCCATCCCTCCTCCCCCGCTCCCCCGATATCTTCGCTCTGTCATTGAGTTTGGCGACAATCGTTCCCCAGGGGCCCTCTGCCAGGCCTTGGGGCCGTCCCCTGGCATCGCTCGGACGTGTGCACTTTTTTCTCGGCGAGGACCCTGGAGGAGCATCCTGGATCATCGAGCAAACAAGAGCACGCACGAGCCCGAAGAATGCACAGGGAGTGGACGCCCGAGCGATGGCAAAGGTACACGGGCGGCTCTCGGAGCGAGAGCCCCAGTGCCCAGGCTGGGGGTCCAGCGCCCTGGGGGGTGCGCACGACGGGCACGCCGCGTGCCATGCGGCAAAACATCTTCCCGTCTCTCGTCTCCCCCTCTCGTCTTCCTCGTGCTGTCGCCCACCTTCTCCTCACACCGCCTCCCCTCTCCCGCCCTCTGGTGCCCTGTCTCACCCTCTCCCTCCCCTCTCTCGCCCTCTCCTCCTCTCTCGCCCTCTCACCTGCCCCTCCCCCTCACACCCTTCTCCCCTCTCTCGCCTTCCTCCTCCTCATTCTCGCCCTCTGCCACTGGTCCCCTTCCCACCCACGCCCGTTTCACCCCCCCCTCCCCCGATCCAATGCAGAAAAGGTCTCCCCCGCAGACAACTCAGCGGGTGGTCCAGCCCCGAGACGAAGCGAGATGTGAAGGTGAAGGGTGTCGCTTCGTGAACAAAACTGCGTCGCGTTGGCACGGAAGGCGCTGGAGGATTCGAATTTCCCGTTGTTAGCGTTTCCTGAGTCTTCATGTGTTCCCCACTTTCGTGCCAGTGGTAGATTAAATTGTTGTCTTGGCAGTCTCGTGGATTGTTTCCGTTTTGTTTTCATTTTCGCGTTGAGTTTATTATGGGACCTACCTTTGACCAACCACGGCTTCGGATGTGGACGGTCGGTCGGACCCGTGTCTCTCTTAAACGCTCCAGAGCGAAGCCGAAACGCAACATGTTGTAATAGTCGTCGCTCCCTCAGTGCCCCCCGCGTACGTGCTCCACACACCCCTTTCAAGGGAGGAAAGACCACCCCGACCCCAGAATTGGCGTTGACTGAGCGGCCCTCGGCGCTTACCACACAGCCTTGTCCGGTTCGATTCATTCCTTGGGTGCGTTTACCAAACGGCGTCGCTCGCCCGGGTGCTTCTTATGAGGGTGGCCGTTCTGATCTATATTCCTCCCCCTCGGCTTGGCCTTCCTCGTCCTCCTCGCCTTCCTCCTCCCGTGTCCCCTGTTCGTGCTGCTCCGCCGCCGGGCGCTTCCGCGGCCTGCTGCTGCTGACCACTCCTTGCTTCCGCTGCTCCTCGTCCTGCGGATGATGCTCCTCCTTTGTTATCATGGTTCTGCCAGTGTTCCTCGTCCTCTGCGCCGTCCTCCTGCGCATCATCATCCTTTGGTTCGAACGGAAGGTCTGTCTTGTATATAATATATGTATATATACATATTTGTATATATACATATATATATATATATATATATATATATATATGTACATATATATATATATATATATATATGTATTTGCTTTCTGCCCTGTCAATGTTCCCCACAATCCGCCGCCATTTGGCCCGGTTCCGTGCCCGCATTAGCTTCGACAGCTCCTCGAGTGTTTTGGCCTTCCGTGTTCATGATGCTCGTGTCCGCTACGTCGGACAACAAGGATACCGACCAGCACAGACGCATCACCGGGAACCTCAAACAGCGCGGTTCCACCCCGCCGCTGCCTGTTTCCTTCCTGGGGGGTGTTCCTACTACGGTGGAGGCGCCCCCGGAACCACAGGCCTTTGCTTCGGCTGAAAAGAAGAGACCGCCATCGTTTACATCAACAGCCTCATTCAGTGGGCCCGAGCTGCCCGCAACTGTGTTGCGAGGGCCCTGGGAAGTGCCAGCGGATAAGAGTTTTGGATAAACGAGGGAAGTCCGTGGAGTGTCTAGCGACCATGTTGCCAGCATTCCAGGGGGCAGCCAAGCAGGTCGGGGACCGTTTGCCTTCTCTCTTGTGGAATATGACACATCGCCAACACACACACACACACACACACGCGTCCGTCAGATTGGCAGGGCGAGATCCCCGCTTGCACCCCTCTGGACCCATGGCGCAGCTGGCGGCATTCAGTACGGTGGCGACACGGCGCGCGAAGGGCAGAACCGCAATTATGTTGTGGGGTGTCCTGGGTGCGTCGATCGCCGCGACGTCACAGTTAACGCACAAAGGGCACAACCGCAACCATGTTGGAGGATTTCCGAGCGACGTGACAGCCACACAAACTCGAAGCAACACAGCACTCATCAACAAGCTGACGAAGAGGGACGCATCCCGGGCAGGGATCCACGACGGCTTCCAGGCCCATGGTCAGAAGAACGCCGTCGGTAGGCCCCCGGCCCCCAGTGCCACTTAGGCTTATGGAGGGACATCCGCTCTGGATGGAAGGCCATCGGAGCGGGCATGCTGGCATTGGCCAGCTGCCTCACCAGCATGGACCTCGACGAGTTTGGCCAGGCGGGCCACGCCTCACTTCGTCTGGTCCGAGAATGCGTGGACGAGTGCCAGCCAGTTCCTCATGCAGGGAGCCACCATCAACGGCGACCCAGTTCCACCGATCACTCTCCAGTTGCGCAGTTTCGCCGAACTTTGGGCCCAGTTCGGCGAGGGGGGGGGCGCGCCGCGGCAGTCTCGGCACACGTGAATGTCAATCGGCTGCCGCAGGAGCGCGTAGGACACCTCCTCGCAAGTCTCGGCGCCCTCCGCAATCGCGCGCAGCCGCACAGCAGGCTGGTCAACCCGTGATCGGCCACGAGGGTTTCATCTTCCCCCCCTCGCGCGCCGCCGGAGTGTCAAAGATGCAACTCGCACCGATATTGCGGCACTAACTACAACATGCCCTTCCCGACGAACGCGTCGCAGCTCGCGCGCGCGGCGGGCCAGCTGCGACGCAGCGGGCGCGCGATCGAAGGGTCGCCCGGCGATCTCGCTTCAGCGGTTCGCAGGGCCTAACAGCAAACCCCCTTCGCGGTCACGGCGGCGCCTGATCTGGCCCAGAGTGCCCACGGCGCCGCAGCGGGATCGAGCCGGGGCGGCTCGGGCACATCAGCCTTAGGGGGGGCGCCGAGCCCACCTGCGCCAGCGCCGCCGGCGCAGGATGCATTCTCACCAGCTGCCGTCGACTCCGGCGCCGACACTGACACCGTCGCCGCGCGCGACCAAGGCGCAATCGCCGATGACCCCGAGCTACGCGACGCCCGCATGGACAAGCGCGGCGCGCATCTGCTCTGGGCGCGCGCGTGCGCCAGAGCACGATGGCGATGCTTCGCCAACCGCGGAAGCTCACGCGCCGCGCCCGGCAGGGCCGTTGGGCGGAATGGCAAGGGCCAGCGCAAAGGCCGCCGAGCCTTCTTGGCCGACGCGTCAGAGAATGACCTCCGAGAAGCACGCGCGGGCTTCGGGGTGGGGGGCAGAGGCGTGGGCGGGATCAGCGGCATGGGTTCGGGCCGCCAATGCAAACCCGCGGGCGCTGATTGGGCGCGATATCAAAATCCACAATTGCGACTCGGAGAAACACCTCGAGCGCGACTGCCCCGGGCGCCGTTGCCAGTGGAGCACTCTGCGCCTCAATGCCTGCGCCCCTTCGCCGCCAGCGCCCGCGCCGCCGTCGCGCCCAGGGCCGCCGGGGCCGCGAGCCTATCTGAGCAGCAGCCCTGGACGAATCCACGCGCGGTCGGGGCGATCAGGGGCGCCGCCAGCCACGGGCAGCCCATGGTCCGAGGCTGCGGGCGCCGGCGGGGGTGACCCCATGCGAGACGTTGATCCTTGGACTGGCGGATGGCCTGCGTCGGCATCAGCAGCGCTGCGGCCGGCGGTTGCAGCTGCTCCAAGTCCATCACCAGACTGCTCGTGGCATTCGGTTGGCCGCAGTCAGTGGCCCTGTTTGACTCCGCCACCGTCGTCGCTCAACCGTCGCGACGCCGGATTGCGACGACTACGACAGAAGATGGGCGTTTTCATGGACCGCGCGCAAGTTGCTCAGCCATCAAAGCCGGCAGCTACGCTGCAGACCCACACGGCAGCGGGGGGCCTGCGCCGGCCGCGCCCGCGGCACCGACGGCCCAAGCAGCGGCGCCTGCACTGCCACAGTGGACGCGGCCTGGCGTTGCAATTCTTTTGGGACAGGCCACGCGGCGCGAGTGGCCGGGCGGCCTCGACGCACGAGCCGCCGCTCCCACGCCGCTAGTTGCCGACGCGCAGCTGCCGAGCTGAGAATGCACGCCCATGGCGGCCGCGCCCGGCGTCGGCGCGCCATGCGGATCGAGCTCCACTTGGCCACCGCAATCGACGCTGGCACCTACGTCACCGCCAGTGCCAGCGACCCTCTCTGCGCTGGCCTGTTCGACACAGACAGGCCTGTTGACGCGGGACAACCATCGCGGAGAGTAGCCGCGTGGTTCGCAGGCCGCGAGACGTGGATGTTTGGCGGCCATCGATCTGAGCATGGCGCACTTCCCACTCTCGACTGCACCCAACAACGACACCTGGAGGAGCTCGACAGCACGCACACGCCACTAGCACCGGAGCTACTACGGCCGCAGGGTGAGTAGCAGCGCCGAGACGCGCGGAGTTGGGCAGAAGCCCCTACTATCCTTCCTCCCGCGCCGGCTGCGGCGCCCGCTGCGCCTCGCTCAGCTGCCGTCTTCGACGGCGACGACAGGGGGCGCGCCATTTGTCTCGAGGCCTTCGTCTACGGCGAGAGGGCTGCACGACTGCTGTGCCGCCGCGTTCTGCACTGCGCACGCCGCTTGAAATTCGCGCAGAGCACCGACGCCAGCTCCATGGGTGCAGACCGTGCGCACACGGGTCCGACACCGATGGCGCCAGTCCGTGGAGCATTAGCAGAAAACGCGCCAGGAGCGACATCGCCTCGACCGGACACAGCGCCGCCTCCCCGGCCTGCTCCAGCACCCAGGACACCACGGCAACATCATTTGAGATTTCCAGGCATTGCGTTCAGTTTCGCGTCCGCGGTAGATGCCCCAGCGCCCTTTCGAAACTCACTTGGATGTGCGCGTGCCGCCGCGCAGGCATTCGCCGTGCTACCTGGCAAGTTCATCGCTTTCATGTCGCCGGTGAGGTGTCGTCGTCGACACCGGCCCCTGGGCCAACCTATTGAGGCATGCGATTCGCCCGAGCCAGGCAGGCGAATCTACGACCCTCGGGGGAGAGGTTGTCCGCTCGACCATTTGCTGCAGGATTGGGCAAGGGGTCGCAAGTGGCGGGCTGGGAAATTCATTGTCCCATCGCCACCACATCGCGCGATGGCGTGACCACTCAGCACAGCATGCACGCCATGGCGTTGAAGGCGCAGGCGACATTTTGCTGGTCATGCTAGGCCTGCTGCAATCCACGCAGTCCAGCAACATAGGGGTGGTGGAGGCAGGCATTCCTCACAATAGCCTCACCTTTCCCGGGCAGGGCGGCTACGCGATCGCCTTGAGCCCAGGTGCGACGCATTGCGACCTGGGGTGAACTCCGAGCGGTCACCATTGCATCCTCGTCGACGACTCCGGCAGGCTCCAGACGCATTCCGGGGGCCTGCCGCCTAAGCAGCTAACTCTGCTGGCGGTGGGCAACGACGGCCAGGGCCACCGCGACGCCGATGGCCGAGAATTCAACAAGCTAAACGTCGAACCGGAATTTCCAGTTCGAATGCGAGAGCACCTTGTAGGGCCAACAGCTCTGCCGTTTACAACCTGCACGCCAGCTCCCACGTCGGTATCCCGACCTATGGTCGGGAATTGGCACCCGCAGGCATTGCCGCACTAGCACCAACAGGCACATGCAGAATGCGTCTTGCCCCGTGCTCAGGTCCCGCCCCCAAAGGCCTCGGCATCGCCTGCTGCGCGGTAGAGCGCGACTACCGTGGAGAGATCAAGGTCATCGCGCACAGCGCCACCCCGCGGCCCAGCCAGTCGGGCAGGGCCGCCACTTCGCCCGGCTCATCCTGGAGCGGTACAACGACGACGCCGAGATCATGGTCGTCCCCAGCTAACCTTCGTTGCCGCGAGGATTTGGTGGTTTCGCGCATACTGGTGCGACGCGCTTCTGCAGTCGTGACACCATTCCGAGCGATGAGGCCAGCCCGACTTCCAGGGCCGGATCGACGCCCATGGCGCCGACTACCTTGGGGGGCCAGCACGCCTGAGAGTTGTTTGGCCAGCATCGTTTAATCTGATATACTCCTGTTCATGTTCCTCTTCCGCGCTGCCGCCACTACGTACCCTGTTTTCTTTCAGCGCGTCGGCCGGGGAGTGCGATCACGCAGCGAGAAGTACACCTTGGATGGAACTCGCAGGATGCCCAGGGGCACGCCTCCACGCACGGACGACGTGGTGTTTGCTGTGTTTCTGCTGAGTGGTGTGGTGGGCAGGCATGGCCAATGTTCAAACAGCAAAAATCATCCCTCCGCCTCCCTCCTGTGCTTGCTCCCCCCCATTACGTACAATATACGCGTTGGGTGAGCAAAGGTACGTAACGGTTGCAGTTGTGATCCGTTGGCTTAGGCCTTGGTAACCCATGCCCGGGTCTAGATCTCGGGCGGTGCGTCAGAATTCGTTGTAGCTGTGGGGTGGGGTCCCAGGCGTTTTGGGTCCTCACTTGGAGGATCGCTTCTTGGCCTCACAATTAGATGAACTTGGCTCTCACGAAGTGCTTCTTTATTTCTCTATTCTGCTGCATCCTGCTGGTCGTGCCGCTCGTGCTGCCGATCCCCACCTCCAGCCTCCCTCTCCCTGTTGCTGCCCCGCTGTGGTCGGTCGCGGGCGACGCAGACCCTGCATGTTGATACCACGTAAGTTTGCTGACCAGGCATGCTCTGGAGCTCGTCCTTGGATTGCAGGCGCTCCGCTACGCCCCGTTCCTCCCCTTCGCCCGCCCCATCCTCTTCTCCCTCCTTCCCCCTCCTCCCCATCGCCTTCATCATCATCATCATCATCATCATCATCATCATCATCAACATCAACATCATTATCATCATCATTATCATCATCACCATCATCATCATAATCATCCGCGTCATCATCATCATCATCATTATCATCATCGTCGTCATCATCGTCATCATCAGCATCATCACCATCCTCATCATCATCATCATCAGCAGCAGCAGCATCGTCGTCGTCACTGGTGTCATCGTCGCCGTTGTCGTCGTCATCGTCATTGTCGTCATCATCGCCATCATCATCGTCATCGTCATCATCATCATCAGCATCATCATCATCATCGTCATCATCATCACCATCATGATCATCATGATCATCATCTTCATCATCATCATCATCATCATCGTCATCGTCATCGTCATCATCACCGCCGCCCCTCCCCCTGTCGGCCCCAGGACCCCTCCCTCGCGGATGGGCACCGGGCCGTCTACGACCGCGAGGTGCCCTTCGAGCTGCGCGTGCAGGACGCCGGGGTGAGGCCCGACGAGGCGGGCACGCTGGACGCTATGAGGTGCCCCTGCAGCGGCCGGACTCATGCCCCACCCCTCGTCGTTATTGACATCCCTTGCTTTTCGCATTTGGTCCTCGTCCCCTCTTCGTCTTCAGCCTCCTCCTCCCTCTCCCCTTTCTCCTTCATTCCTTCACATGCTATTCAATTCGTCCCTATCGCACCCAGAGGCCGGTTGGAAGGGGGGGCTAGGCGTTTCGTTTGAGAATTCCCCACCATTTATGACCTTGAAGCTTCACCATTGGCAACAGCTTCACAGATGGAGGGCGGGTCGCTTCCAAAATGTGGCTCTCATCTTAGCGCCGCGCATATTCGTTTCAAGCATTTGCATGGGATGCACGGATTGAGGACAGGTAGTTTGCAGATTGTGGTTTTCGGATTAGCGCCGCGCGCATTCGTGTTAAACATGTTCAATAGCATCGCGGATGAAGGGTGGCTCTTTTTCAAAATGTGGTCATCGTTGTAGCGCCGCTTGGATTCGTGTAGAATTTCCAACAGCATGTCATTGACTATCATATTTTTCGTGTTCGAAATGTTGTGTTGGAGCGATGTGCGGCTGTCGGGGCGGAACCGTTATGTTGATTCGCGGTGTTGGAGTTCCAGGACTGGCGTTCTGGCGCGATACAGGATCGTCAAGACGCAACAGGAAGGTTGGTTCGTGTTTTTGAAGTCCCAAGAATGTGGCTCTGACACGGTTCATGATTTTCATACGGTTGTCTTTGAAGAGGGAGTTTCGAGGGAGAGTGTATTGCAACATCGTTAATGGGTTTCTGGTTTTCACTGGTCCTCCTCCTCCTCCGTCTCCTCCTCTTCCTCCTCCCCCTCCTCCTCCTCCTCCACCTCCTCCTCCTCCTCCCCCTCCTCCTCCTCCTTCTCCCCCTCCTCCTCCCTGTCGTCCTCCTTCCCCACCCCCTCGTGGCGCTGCCCGAGGAACTCGCGCCTTCCACCGCGGCTGCCCTCACGGAGGCTGCGGTGCGTGGCGCTGCCGCGGCCCGTGCGCCGAGGCGCAGTGCGGCGGCCGTTGCGCGGGCGGCGTTCTCGGTCGCGTGCTCCATTGGTATCTTAGTGGGCCCTGGAAACGACAGGGCCGTTTTTGTTATCGGTTCCGTTTTGCTGTTTTTTTTACCGGTTCCGACGCCGTGTTTTTACCGGTTCCGTCGCCGTTGTTTGACCGGTTCTGGCTCAGGTTCCAATCCTGGAGCCGTTTTTTTGCCGTTTCCAGTCGCCGTTTTTTTGCCGTTGCAATTTTCAAGGGACATTTTTGTTGGGAAACGGCCTTGCCGTTTCCGGGGCCCACAAAGATTGGTATCGCTCGGACTTGTGCATTTTTGCTCGGTCGGACTGTTGGAGTCCCAGATTCCAGTCCATCTAAAGCGCCGTCCTACTTCAACGACCCAGTGGCTTCACCTTTTGCCCGCCCTCTGTTGGGGGCGGGCGGACACCCAAACTACATGCAACGCCTTCCTGTTTCATGTTTCGACCTGCTTTGTCCGACCTATGGGTAATCCATGCCCTTGGTATCGCTCGGACGTGTGCTCTTTTTCTCGGCGGGGATCATTGCGGAGCATCCTGGATCATCCCGCGCAAAAAATCACGCACGAAGACGCAACAGGCAAAGGGAGTGGACGTCCGAGCGATGGCCAGCTCCGGGGTTGCTGAGAGTGCCGAGCCGCCAACGGCCGCGCAGGCGCCGTTCCACGCAGGACGCACTCGCCCCTTCTGCGGCGCGGCTGCCAAAGTCGAGCGGCGATGCCGCCGCCGCCAGCGCCTCGCGGTGCGGCGCGCGGAGGGCGGTTTGCTGGTGCAGGCCCCGGGCAAGGCCCCCAGCGCGACGACGCCAGAGACGCCGACGGCGGCGGCGGGCGTAGCTGGTGCAGGGCTGGGCCCTGCGCAAGCCCTTCGGCCTCGACGACAGCTGCGCCGGTGCCCTGCCGCCGCGCAGCCCGGTGTGGCCGCAGCGGCGACGACTCCCTCGCGAGGCAGCGGCGGAGCGGCAGCGCATGTGGCTCGCGCAGTTCATGGCACTGCCGTCGGCACGCCCTGGCGACGCCCTCGCTTCCGGCCCCACCGCCTCGGACCCGCTGCGCCGCCCGCTCGAGAAAATCGGCCGGGCCTGAGACCTCTCATGTCCTGCCTGGCCCCGCTGTCACCTCGAGTGCGCCCCTGGCGAAGTCGGTGCGCACCAGATGTTTCCAGTCCGGCGCCTGGCGCGCTTGGCACGCGGGCAGGCGGGCCCTCCCACGTTCTCATGCTGGCCAGCGTTCGTGGATGCGGGCGCTGCTCCGTGGCCGGCTGGCTCCCTCCCCTCCTCGCTTGACTGGGTTAAGGATCGAGGATTTTTGGCGGTTTGGCACAACTCATCTGCTCCGAGAGGCACCAGATATTGACAAGAAGGGCGAGGGGGCTTGAGGACCGAGGCCTCAGCGCTGCGATGAAGCCGCACCGCCGGGCCTTGCCATGCGCGGGGCCTGGGGGCCACTTCGGGCTCCCCCCCCCGCGATTAAAAACTGGCCCCAGCGGGCGAGTCAAGAGCCTCGGGGGGCCCAGCGATTCGACAGTCAGGAGGGAAAGAAACACACAGACACAATTAATCGTCGACTCCCAGGAAAAGATGGGAAAATATGGCAAATGGTGGGGAGGACAGAAACCCAGAAAATATGGGAAGATATGGGGATTACTGTTATCTGTGTGAATTTATTTGTGTGTTTGTGGGCCCCTTCAGACAGGCTCGGGCCCACGACGGTGGAGCAAAGTCTGACTTCCAGCGCCCCGCCTCCCCGTGCCTCGCTCCGCGCGCACGCGTGCGCCGTGGGGGTGCGGCAGTATGCCCGCCGCCGTTGCCGCATCGAGGGCTGGGTTGCTTGGCTTGAGAGACTCGTTGCGTGGCCAACGAATTGGGAGCAACGTCGGCTCAAGAGATGATTGACGTTGCTCTGGCTTGCCGCATGCTGATGTTGCTCAGCATGACATCGGCCATACAGTGGGAGCCGACGTTGATTCGGCCGTACAGTGGGTAACCAAGGTATGATTTGGGAGCCGACGTTGTTCTGGCCGATGACGTGGGAGCAAACAGACATCGGAGATCCGTCGGTGTCGACGCAGGATCGCCCCCAGATCGGAATCCGGCCGGGAGGGATCACCGCGCCGTGCTCTCCCGGACGTTTCGGCCCAGGGGCCCCCAGCGACGAGCGGGCAGCCGCCGCAGGCGTAGAGAGCGAGAGAGAGAGTGAGACAGAGAGCGACCGAACGCAGCAGGAGAAGAACGACAGGGGCGATGCGGCGCGATCTTCGGACCCCATCTACTCGAATCCCGTTTGGGAGGCCTCTGGTGGCAGGATGCGGAAGGTTGACAGTGGAGGCGAGGCCCAGGACGCACGCAGACACAAGTTTTGATATGTTCCGTCTCTAGGCATCGTTCGGGCGCGCGTATTTAGTGTTATGTGGTGCACCTCGTCGTGTGTCCGTGAGTGGTTGGCCTGGACGGGGAGTTGGACTGCACCTGGCACAACTCGCGTGCAAACAAAAATATCGTACTTACATGGAAACCACATTCGAGCGACGGCAAGATGTTCGTCCCTCTCTCTCTCTCTATCTCCCTCCCTCTGCCCCGCTATACATATACATATATACATGTACAGAGCAGGTATATCTAGATACATGGTTATACATATGTATATATATATATATATGTATATGTATATATTCATATATACATATATATATATATATATATGTATACATGGGGAGCGGGGGCCGGGGAGCCAGGCAGAGTCGGCTCGTTCGGGGTTGGAAGGAGGATCAGGAGGTGGAAGCGGAATAAGAGCCATCGTAATACGGGCATCCATGCGAAGAAGTAGCAGAAGAAGCGGGCACCGTGAGTCACTGCACGCAGAAAAATACACCAGTAGTACAGAGGGGAAGGCGAGGGGGGAGGATGAGAGCGGCAGGTGGGTCGGCGCCCCCGGGAGCGCCCGCCTTGGGCCGGGGCCGTGGGTAGGGAAGAGGAGAGGACGTGCCTCGAGCGTAACGCCCTCTCTCAGCCACGCGCAGAGGGGGGTGGGGGGAGGGGGGAGGGCTTCTCAGAAGCACATCTGCTTCTTAGAAGGCGCCTTCTAAGAAGCAGCCTCCTTCTAAGAAGCCCTCCCCCCTCCCTCCACCCCCTTGTGCGCGCCGCCAACTCTCCTCTCCGCGGGTGCATGCGTGGCGGGGCACGCCCGGATGGTTATGGCTGGCGCCTACTGCGAGGCCTTCGGTGGTCTCTGAGTGCTCGGGCGGGCGTAGACGCGCGCGCCCTGTTGTTTTCCGACCTTCTATGCCCTGTCGCCGCGCGCACGGCCGCGACGCCCAGAAGCGTGCGCGGGGGGGATCGGCCCAGGGGGGATCGGCTCACCCTCGCCACTGGCGCAAGCGTCCCTCTTCTCCACTGCCACCGCTGCCCTCTCCACTTGTTCTGCTGGCTCTCCTCCCTCTCAAGCAGTGGCGGGGCGTCCAGGCTTGCCTGTTGGCCCCGCCAAGGAGTATTTTGAGAACCTGCTTCCGGTTGCACGAAGTATTCTAAGGACACTCACGGCTGACATCGCTATAAAGCATCGGCTTCGCGTTCTGAGAGCAGACTGCGATGTTCTTAGAGCACTCTTTTGGATCATGTCGTGGTAGGCCTATCGGAGTGCCGAGACGGTCGGTCCCTGTCCAACCCTCACCCTTTTGCTTCTCGGGCTGCGCGGTAGGCCTATCGGAGTGCCGAGACGGTCGGTCCCTGTCCAACCCTCACCCTTTTGCCTCTCGGGCTGCGCCGGGAGGGGCGCTGGCGCGCGGGTGCAGACGTTGGCGGGGCGGCCCGGCGCTCGGGGCTGGCTCTCCCTCTCGGGGGGCAGCGTCAGGGGGGGACGTGTGGTTCCGAGGAGGACGCGCCAACCCCCGATAGTCCTTTGATCGCCGACATATCGGGGCGCCCGCGATGGCCCACGGACCGTGCGGTTTCGCTATCGGGGGCCTCATGCCGATTTGTCGGCGACGCAACGCCGATTCCAGGGCGATGTCTCCCCCTCTGAGCTGGTCCCCCCTATAGCATAGTTAGTCCCGTTCTCCTCGTCGTCTCCCCCCCTGCGGGCATTTGCTGCCCAGATCGTTTTTCCATCTCCTGCGGAGCGAGGGCGAGAGTGAGGTCGTCTCGGCCGGCGGCAGCTGTGCTCATGACTGTCTGGCCTCTCTCCCCTCTCTGATCGTCTCGTCGGCGGCGGCGGGCGAGGTGCAAGATACTGCTTCTCGGCGAGGAGCACGACCCAGAGAACATCCGGAGGGGCGGGCATGGCAGGTACAGACGTGTCCTGGTCCAGGGCCGTCCGGGCGGGGCCCGATCTTCAACCGGGCCAAGTATTCCGGGCCGGTCCGGGCTCAAAGAGAAAGATAGTCCGACCCGGTTTTGTCCCCGGGTCGAGGAGTCAACCGGAACGTCCTCCCGTCTTCTTTCTTTTCCTTCCGGACGGGACGATGAGGAGGACGACGGTGTCTCGTGTCGAACATTCAAAGATCTGCGCGCGTAAACATGCGCGTCCGGGGGTCCGTACGAGTCTCTTCGGCGCGGGGCTCCCTTGGCGGCGCCGCCCCTGGTCCGCGCGCCAGGGAGGAGAGCTTGGAGCCGATGCGAGGTAGGCGCGCGGCTTCTAAAAGTTTCTATGACGCAGCGCTTGACGTTTTCCAGGAGGAGGAGCAGCAGCAGCAGCGGCATCGGGAGCAGCAGCCGCAGCAGAGAGGCCCGGCAGGGGGGCGAGAGATGGAGGGGGACGAAGACGGGCCCAGGCCCCTGCGCCGTCGTGATTAGCTCACAGCGCCGATCCCCAGAGGTCTCGCCCCCTTCTCCAGGACCCGTTTGCCATCCCTTGCTGCTTCTTGTTGACGGTCATTGGGCCCGGCGAGGGCCCCCCAGGGGTCGCAATTGGCCAAGAGCCGTCCGACGCGATTTCGTTGACAACGCGAGGGTCTCCTTGGGGGCTGGGAGGAATAAGGGGGCATGGGGGGACAGGGCAGCAGGGAGGGATAGGGAGGGGTTTTTTGATGCCTGGAGGGATAGGGAGGACGACAGCGCGAGGCAGGGGAGCAGGGGAGGCAGAGGCCAGCGGGGAGGGCCCAAAGGAGGGCGAGCACCGTCTTGCCCACCCTGCGTGTCACCGGTCCGCCCCCCCCTCTTGTCCACCCCTCCTGGGCGGTGGGGCCACGTCGGGGACAGGAACAGGACCGCCCAGACATGCTCGCGTTGTGAAGAGATCGCGGCGGATGGCTTTTGGTCGTCGACTCGCGCCTGTCCCCATTCTTGCCCACCATGCCTGTCTCCGTTCCGCCCCCCCCGCCCCCCCCCCTCCCCCAGGTCGGGGACGGGGATCGAACCGATACACCTAGATCGCAGACGACCATGGTTTTCTCAACTAGCTTTTTTCATGGATTGGGGCCCTCGGACCCCGTTTTTTCAGGCCCTGAGGCCGAACAACAACCCTGAGCTGGGACGGAACACCATCCCCAGGGAAGCGATGGGTATTTTGGGGGCCGCGGTTTGAAAAAACATGACCGCGAAATTCCGTCCACCCCCCTCTGGCACACCCCCGATGGAAAACCGGCCTGGGCTCCTGGGACAGAGCTGGGATATCCGGAGGACCCGCATTGGGACAAACAGGAAGCAGGGGTGGACCTGAACGGTGTTTGGGCCATTTTGTGGGCCGTTTTCGTTTCGATGTTGTTTTTGCGGTAAAGGCGGATTGAAGACAAGACGAGGGAAAACGAACACAAAACGAGAACGAACAACACCGTTTAGGTTCAGCGCTGACAGGAAGTACGTCGGTGTTCGTCGCCGCCACCGCGCAGAGTGCAGTGGGCATTCTCTGGGGCAGCTTCGCGAGCGTAAGACGCTGTACAGAGCATGCGCTCGATGTTTGCGGCCGGAGCCCCGCACACATTGGTCTCGGCATCGCTCGGGCGTGTGCATTTTCCTTCGGCGAGGACCATCGAGGAGCATCCTTGATCGCTTGGCGAAGAACCCACGCACGAGACCGAGAAGAACACAGGGAATGGACGTCCGACCGATGGCCAGTACAGTGGGGACGCATGTCAAGAAACACCCTCTGTTTCGTCAGGGTTCCCTGGGTTTCTTCAGCTTGCGTTCGGCGGGGCTGGTCGCCGCCATCTCGAAGAAACTGCAGATGTCAGGGCACCCAGGGTTTCTTGGGCGTCGGCGCATATCGGGTCGCGCTCCCGAAAGCCCAAGAAACTTCCTGCATTCAGGGTACCTTGGGTTTCTTCACCCGCCCCCCTTCTGCTTGTCACGCGCAGCGCGCGCGCGCTCGTGGGGTTTTTTCAGTCTGGCGCGGGAGTCCCATTGCAGTCGGGGCGCATGCCCGATAGCCCAAGAAACTGATTAGTGTTTAGGGTACCTTGGGTTTCTTCACCCGCCACGCAGTCTCTTCGCCACGCGCAGCGCACGCGCGCGCGCTCGCGGGGGTTCTTCAGTCTGGCGCGGGATTCCCATTGCAGTCGGGGCGCATGCTCGATCGGCCAAGAAACTGATTAGCATTCAGGGTATTTGGGGTTTCTTCACACGCCACGCAGTCTGTTCGCCACGCGCAGCGCGCGCTCGCGGGGGTTCTTCAGTCTGGCGCGGGGGCCCCATCGCAGTCGGGGCGCATGCCCGATCGCTGCATAGTGGGTGCCTTGGGTTTCGTCGCCCCCCCCTGGCCTGAGTCAAATGTGCGCGCGTTTATTTTCCTAGAGGAGAAGTCGTCGCCATTCTCTTAGTGCGATATTCGATCGCCTTGGGTTTCTTGATGTCAATTTGGCTTACGCCGGCGATCAAGAAACCGCTCGGGTCAGGGTACCCTGGGTTTCTTCGTTTGCAGCCAAAGTGCAAGAAACCCCACCCTGGGCCAAGAAACTTCGGCGGATTTCAGGGTTGGGTTTCTTGCGGGGTGTTTCTTGTGTTCGCGTCCCCACTGTAGTCTGAAGAAGAAAACCCGGCATAAACATAAGCTTTCGGCGCTCCACACGGCTTTCTTGGATCCGCGCTGGGCCCCTCCCGCGGCGCCTCCAGCGCCGCCCCTGGCGCGCTCCGACTCCGCGCGCCAGGGAGGGGTCCAGCGCAGATCCAAGAAATCCGCGCGAAGCCTAAAGCTTCGGCCGTCTTGGACCTCCAGAGGCCCTTGCCGGGCCTCGGGGTTGGCAACAGACAGAGCTACTCAGGGCGACGAGCTTGCCCTGGGGAAGCGGTCCAGACTTCCGGGGGCCCACGCCTCAGAAGGAGTGGAGCGGCCCGATGTCTTGGTCCCGGCATCGCTCGGACGTGCGCGCTTCTTTCTCGGCGGGGACCCTGGAGGAGCATCCTATCCTGGACCATCGAGCAACAAAAATACGCACGAAACCGAAAAATGCACAGGAAATGCCCACGGAGGCTACGAAAATACGGCGCCTTGTGCTTTTGTGCCAGACGTTGGGCGTCTGGAGACCCATCCAGATGCCGCCGAAAGACCCTCGAGACCCCGGGAGCCGACGCAACAACAAGAAAGCCACGACTGGAGGAGCCTTGGAACCCATTTTCTGGACCCTTTCTCGATCGATCCGCGAGGGTCCCGGGTCCCGAAGTGGGGCGAAGAATAAACGACGCGAGGATCTCCGAGGAGCCCCCCCCCATTGGGCAGCTGCGCGCTGCGCTGCGCCGCGAGGCGCGCAAGAGCCGCCACGCCGCCCCCCAGCGCCGGGCGGACTCGCCCGGGTGCCGCGCCCGCCCGGCGCCGTGCAGGGTGGGAGTTCTCGCCGCCCGGGGCGCACGCCCCCTCGCGTTGAGTCGGGCCTGCCCCCCTACAGGGGGATTTTGGACGAAGAACAGATAAGAGTCAAACGAGGTACCCCAAAATGCTCAAAAGATCTTGCAAACATAGTCCCCAGACTATCTCTCGACTGTTTTTGAAGATTCCCCCTGCAGGGGGACAGGCCCGACTTAGCCCGACTTAACCCTGTAGGGGGACAGCTCCGAGGCGGGAATTTATCCATGTCCACCGCCTGCAGGGTCAGTTTTCGGAGCCTCGGCAGGCGGTGGATATGGACATATTCGGGCCCCTGGGGGGCCGAAATGTATGCATATCCACCGCCCGTTGGGGCACCAGGACGTCGGTTCCCAGGCGGTGGATGTGGATAAACCCCCGCCTCGCACTCGCGGCACCTCGCGCGGAGGAGTCTTGCGCTGGCTAGTGGGGGTCAGCGGTGTGGGGCCCAGGGAGAGGGAAAATTTCTGGGAGTTTCCTTGTTCCCAGACCTCCGACGTCGCGAGAAACTCACGACGAAGTTTCTTTTACCATTTTCTGCCTCTGGAGGCCCTCGCCAAGTCAAAAAACGATTCGGGATGAAAAACTGGCCCCAGGGAAGGTCTCCAGACTTCGGGGGGGCCGACGTCGTGACTTTCTCACGATGTCGGGGGTCTGGGTTCGGGGCTGCATTTTCCTATGGGCTGTTGTGTCCTTGGCTTTTCTGTGGCAGGTCCTTCGAGCCTTGGCCTGTATGTTTGCCCGAGCCTGTTTTTTTTGGGGGGGGGCTGCCCTTCGCTAGCCTTGACTTCCAGAAGCGTGACCCCCATGAGCAGGCGAATGGAGGACCAACACATTCTCCTCTGCCTTGGCTTCTGGCTGGCTTGGGCGAAGGCATGGGGGGCTGACGGCTCGGCGAGAGGCACCGCGAGCGCGCTTCTCCTCGCAGGGCGCGCCGACCCCGCCCCCCCCCCCCCCCCACTCGAGCGAGTCGCTCTGCGAAGGGGGCGCAGGCGCGTTTTCATTGCCCCGCCCACCTGAGGAGGCAGAGGAGGACGAGGAGGAGGAGGAGGAGGAGGAGGAGAAGGAGCTTGGATTGTCCCTATGGTAGGACGCGGGGTTCGGGCGGGGGCCTCTTCCCCGCCCCGAGCGCAAAGGCTCGGGGGGGGGCCCTCCGCGCGGCTTCGGGACGCTCGAGCGGTGTGCTTGACGCGTGTGTTAGGGGAACGAAGAATGACGTAAACATAACAACTCGGAGGTCCGCGCGGATTTCTCGGATCCGCGCTGGACCCCCCTGGCGGCGCCTCCGGCGCCGCCCCTGGCGCGCTCCGCGCGCCAGGGAGGGGGGTACAGCGCCGATCCGAGAAATCCGCGCGGACCTCCGAGTTTTTATCTTTATGCCACTTTTGTGTTTATGTTTATGTGTATGTTTATGTTTATGTAACTTTGTTGTTTTGTTTATGTCACTTTTCTGTTTATGTTAATGTTTATGTTTTTATTTTTATGTCACTTTTTG